GTGTGTCCCTCCGTGTGAGTAGGGCCATGAACTAACTGGGTCAGGTCCATGGCCGTCATGGAAGGCATGAACTCCCGAGCTGCCTCAGATGTTTCCCCGATGGATGGCAAGTTGAAGTCCCCCATGACCAAGAGCCTGGGGGTATCAACCGCCACCCTGGCAATAACATTGAGCAGTTCGGGCAGGGAGCCAGGTACGCAATCAGCAGGCCCATCTGTGCCCTATGTCCCCACTTCACAAACAGGGACTCACACCTGGCTATCTGAGCTACAGTGGTCTCCCTCGGAGCAAGTCCTTCCTTTACAAGAACCGCCACCCTTCCGCCCCTACCCTGGGACCTCGGTCGATGGAATGCGTGGAAGCCTGGTGGGCACATTTCAACGAGAGGGATCCCCCCTCTTGGCCCAACCAGGTCTCCATAATACCCGCCAGGTCCACTCCCCCCTCCTGAACAAGATCACAAATGAGGGTGGCTTTATTTGCCACGGACCTGGCATTGTATAACATCAACCAAAGGCCCAGGCCCTGAGGATCTATGCAACCTGGGGAACAGGAAGAGCATTGGGGGCCAGAGCGCGCCATTGCTCGAAGACAGTGAGTGCGCGCCCCCACCACCAGATATGGCCCCCTGCTCCCACCAAATCTGCGCCTCCCACCCACAGTACTGATGGAAGAGCCCTCATCAGTATGAGCTATAGCCCCCTCCTTGACCCTGAGCCCCACGCCTGCCATACCATGACCCCCACCAGACCCAGCCCACCCCACGGGTTATCCCCCGAACCCACACAACCCACCCCCCTCCCAGAACCCTTTAAAATCTTATCTAAAAACTTCCCCAAAAAAACCCACAACCCCCTCCTTGCAACATGCCACCTCTCGGAATTCCAAAATCCATCATCAAGGTAGGCCCTCAATAATGAAGAGGGCCAAGCCTGCGAGAGGGGGAGTCTCACAGCGCAAGGAGGTCAGCAGCCGTAAACATCACAAAAAACAGAGGTGGAAGATAAACTGGTCAGGGCTTCACCAGATAATCCAATAATACTGGGTCAAGAGTAGATCTTCATACCAGGAGCTGGGCTTCACTGCCCTCTCACGGCAGTGGGAGGGGCCAGTGTCATCCCACCTCATTCGGAGGGTAACTATCCCAGTCACCCTCTCACAGTGACTGGCTCAGATGACACCGACAATAAAGTCAGAATAGTCCATCCTTTCGTTCAGTGGATGACACTTAGTTTCCAGATGTCCGGTAGGCGGGAGGTCTTGTCGCGTTTATTCATGTTATTGGGGTGTTTCTCTATTTCGATGGCTTCCATGATTATTCTCTTGTTGAAGTGTTCAGTTTTGGGGATTAATTTGGTTCCTTCAAAGTCAATTTCGTGTCCTGTTGTTTTAAGGTGCTGGAAAAGGGAGGAAGTTTTTTTTCTTTTCTGATTGCTTTCTTGTGTTCTGCAATGCTTGCATTTATTCTCCTATTAGTTTGTCCAATGTATGTGGCTGGGCAGATTTTGCATGGTATTTCATAGACCCTTGGTTTTCTAGCTGGATCTTGTCTTTGGGGTTTCTTAAGATGTTGGCTATTTTTTGGTCAGTGCAGAAAGCTGTCTTGATATTGTGGAGAATTTTGCTGATTTTATCTATGGTGCCTTTGATGTAAGGGAGGAGGGCAATGCCATTGTCCTGTTCTGTGTCTCGGTTCTTGGGAAGTGTCTCCCTTTGGATTAGGTTGGTAATTGTGTTTCTTTGGAATCCGTTAGAGATTAATACGTTTGTAAGAGTGTGTAATTCAGTTTTCAGGTGGTCTTTGTTGGTTAGGCATTTGGTTCTGGAGATGAGAATCTTGGCTACGGAGTTGATCTGTGCAGGGTGGTGATATGATTTTTCTTTTAAGTAGCAATTGGTGTGTGTTTTTTTATGGTAGATGGTGTGTCCTAGGGAGCCGTTGGGTTTTTTGTAGATTAGGACGTCCAGAAGGGGAGTTGGTTGTTAGCGTCTATTTCCATAGTAAATTGTATTTTGGGGTGCAGGCAGGTTGTTGAGATGTGTGAGGAAGTTGTCAAGTTTTTCTTTCCCGTGTGGCCAAATTTCAAAAGTGTCATCTACATATCTAAGACAGAGTTTGGGTTTGTGTTCAGATTTATCTAAAGCGTTGGTTTCAAAGTGTTCCATGTATAGGTTTGCGATGATGGGTGAGAGGAGTGATCCTGTAGGTGCTCCTTCTATCTGTTTGTATCTTTGTCTGTTGTGGATGAAGTATATGTTGGTTAGGCAGTGGTTGGTCAGATCTAGGATGTGCTTAGGAGGGTTGTATTTGTTTTGGATAGCTGTCAAGGTTTCTTTAATAGGTATTGGGTGAAGAGGGATATGACATCGAAGCTCACAAGTAGGTCGCTGGGTTGTAGGTTTTGTTTCTTTATTGTTTCTATGAAGTGGAATGAGTTTTGTACGTGCGAGATGATGGATTCTGCGTAGGGCTGAAGTTGCTTGGCAAGAAATTTGGCAAGATTCTCTAGAGATGAGCCTATGAAGCTGACTATGGGTCTGAGTGGTGTTCCTTCTTTGTGTATCTTGCGGAGGCCATAGAGCTTGGGGCATCTGGATGATTTCTCTCTGGGGATGATTCTTTGCTGGATCTCTTCACTGATGGGAGAGGCTTTTATTTCGGATTTGGTGGTTTTTTCCAGGTAGGTGGTGGGGTCTGTGTTTAGAGGTTTCTAAGCGGGGTCTTGGAGTAGGTTGGATAGTTTAGCTTGGTAGTCAGATGTGTTTATCACCACTGTGGCATTATCTTTGTCTGCTGGGAGAATGATTATGTTATTGTCTTTCCTCAAGTTGGTGAGTGCTTTTTGTTCTTCTTTGTGTAAATTGTTTCTGGGTGGATTGCTGGAGCAGAGGACGTTGGTGACTTCAAGTCTGATTTTATTGGCTTCATCTGGGTTGATTTTGGTTAGGCTAACTTCAACTCTGCATATGATGTTTTCAGTGGGGATGCGTTTGGGGGCGATTGCAACGTTGAATCTTTTGGAAAGGACATTGGTTTCTGCTATGGTGAGGGTCCTATCTGACATGTTATGTACTGTTTGTTTCATGAGTTGCTGTGGAGGGGGGGGGGCTTCTGACATTTTTCTAGTCTGTGGAGTTTGTTGGTGTGTGTGTCTGTCTTGTGGGAGTCTGTCTTGTCTGTGTTTCTGTTTCAGCTCTCCAGAGGGCTAGTTGTTTGGATTTGTCCCGGAGTGCAGGATGGATTTTGTTACTGAGTTTGAGGTGAAGAGTGAGTAGGTCCCTGTTGGTTTGGTCTAGTAGGAATCTTTTCCTGTGGAGTTCGCTTCTGATTAGGTTTCAGTTCTTTTCAGAATCCTTTTGGTGGCTGAAGTTTTAGAATGGAATTTTAGTTGGAAGCATGTGGGGATCACATTTCTGATCCCCACACAAAGCAAACCGACACATGCCATGAACACATGACAAGACCTCAAACTCGGAGCCAAACCAAAGCCCGGATGTGGCATCACAGCCATCTGCTCAGGACATTACATCAAAAAACTCAGGATATCACAACACTAGAACTCAGGATGTTAACACACAGCCCATTACCCAGGTCGTTACAACACAAAAGACTAATGGGCACACATCAAGGACCTCACCCACACAGGATGTTACGAAACAGCTGACTAATCTGCAAACATCAACTCCATCAACCAATCAAGATGTTACAACACAGGCAACCAACCCGCTCACAGCAACAAAGCCAGCACCCCACACCTCCCCACCAGTATTTATAGAGAGACGGTAGCTCCAATCACACTTTCCTCGCACAAGCACGAAGCCGAAGACACCAGCCTGAAGATGACAAGTGGGACCTCGTCGAAAAGTCACCAAGATACTCTCAATCTTATACGGGAAAAGACCCGAATACACCAAAACCTGCACACACACACACACACACACATGTGTGTGTGTGTGTGTGTGCATGTGTGTGTGTATGTGTGTGTGTGTGTGTGTGTATATATATATATATATATAAATTAAGAATTAAAATTAAGGATTTTAATCACAAAGGTAGCCACCTCATCCCATGGTGATGGATAAGCACACAGCGGTCTTATGTACATGTTTAATAGGGGAAGAAAAAGCACCGATCCCTATGGTGTGTCATACAGTAGAGTATGAATTTGAAGTTTATCTAAAAAATAAATTGTTTCATCATTATAATGTGCTACAGATAAATAGCAGAAATGTGTTTTGAAATGCTTTTCTAAAAGTATTTAATTATTTAAATTTGGTTAAATTTAATTATTTAACCAAGTATTGGGGGAAATGAATAATAAAAAACTAAACAGTACAGATAATAATGTTATTTATGAACAGATTTTTTTAAAATAACAAGATCAGAAGTATATATAAATACTTTTAAAATCTTATGTGCTGTTAACATTTAAACATGGACATTAATATTTCTATCCAAAGAAATATTTCTATATATTGATATATTAGGAAATGCTTATCTTCATGGCATATATTTTTAGCAGTAGTTTGATTGATACAAATTTAAAAATGCAGAAAAGCATCAGTAAACCCTTCCCACTAAATATTTCTTTTCTCTTATAATTTTTTTAGATAATTCTATTTCATATTCTTTTTAACCAAGAAACATATTACTTTTCCATTTAAAAATACTTTATCTTGCATGAATTTATGACTCTTGGAAAAATGAAGAGTAAGGTTTCATCACATTTATTTTCCAAATTCTTCAAAAAAATTGACCAAAATGCTTAATTAAATCAAAAATCCATTTTACATAGTCAACATATTTCATACAGTCTAGAAAGATGTTGGTTAGTATGGTTTTTATGGAGTTCTAATACTTTTCATAAATTATTCTAATAATTTTGTATCACAAAGAATTGCAAAGTCACCAAATTCCTGACCAAGTCCTTTTTCCATGTTTTTCAAAACTTCTATTTTCAAATTCCAAAGCACTCATGTTTTTTTCAATCTCCATGAAGGTATCCTTGTGAAACATATTCTGGAAACAATGATCAACACCACTAACTGCAATAAAGGACTTAAAATGATCATGTATTCAGCAGTAAGTATTATCATTTATACCATTTAAGAGTTATGCAGTTTACAAACTTTTGCTGTGACACAGCCATTCTTCTTATTAATAATATATTAATATTCTGCAGCATAATCCTTGTCAGTTGGAAAAATTGGCATGATATCTAACTTTCTAGTGACTAATTGGGAAAGAGGTTATAAAATATATACAGAATATCCAAATTTAATATGCATGACTGAATAATAGTTTTTTTTAAAGAAACGTGTAAATAATGGTAGAAATACGTTGTAATAGAATATCAAATATTTTCATCTACAGCATCATCTGGCCATTATTGTAGCAATATCATTAGTGATAAGCCACCACAATGATGAATGGAAGAATTTATAAATTGCCAGTGGGAATATGCTTGTTGATTGTGGGGATTCAATAGATTCAAAAGAACCAAAGGATCTCATTTTCAATTGCTGAAAAATTATTTCTTTCAGCTATTCTCTCAGATAGCAATAGCACTTAGACTTATATACCGCTTCACAGTGCTTTACAGCCTTCTCTAAGTGGTTTACAGAGTCAGCCTATTGCCCCCAACAATCTGGGTCCTCATTTACCGACCTCGGAAGGATGGAAGGCTGAGTCAACCTTGAGCCACTCAGAATCAAACTCCTGGAGTGAGCAGTGAGTTATCCCTACAGTACTCCATTCTAACCACTGTACCACCACGGTGATCACATGACCTTGGGACATAGCAACAGTATAAATATGAACCAACTGCCAAGCATCTGAATTTTGATTACATGATCATGGGGATGCTGAAAAAGCCGTAACTGTGAAAATGATCATAAGTCACATTTTTCAGTGCTGTTGTAACTTTGAAAGGTCATTAAATGGTTGTAAGTCACGGATTACCTTACTTAAGAGTCAGATCTACTGAACTATGTGGGATTTACTTTTATTAAGATATGCTAAGGATTTCCCAGTCAATCTCTGATAGGGATTGACTATCAGAAAATCTGATAGGGATTGACTACCTTTGGCCTAACTAAACAGTTATTGGAAAGCTGAGGGCCCCTATATGGATATGGCCAGGGATGAAATCCAACAGGTTCTGACAGGTTCTGGAGAACTGGTAGCAGAAATTTTGAGCAGTTCAGAGAACTGGCAAATACCACCTCTGGCTGGCCCCAGAGTGGGGTGGGAATGGGGATTTTGCAATATCCTGCAACATCCACCAAGCCACACCACACCCACCAAGCCACACCACACCCACCAAGCCACGGCCACAGAACTGGTAGTAAAAAAAAAATGGATTTCACCACTGGATATGGCCACATTACACAAGTGAACTGCACTGATTTGGAAAGATAATTTGGAATGTTTTTTTAATTTTTTTTTTTTTTATGTTAGGGATTATTCAACCATTTTTATGTTTGTCTTCTCAAAGTGACAAAGTACTATTATTACTATACCCGTGATGGCGAATCTATGGCATGCGTGCCACAGGTGGCACACATAATCATATCAGTGGGCACGCCAGCTCAGCTCTGGTGCACATGCACAGGCCAGCCAGCTGATTTTACCAGAAGTAGGGAAACAGGCTGTTTCCTGCCTCCAGATGGCCTGGGGTGGTGGGGAAGGCCCGTTTTTCTTTCTCACCTGGCTCCAGATCCTCTCTATGCATCTGGGAAGGCTGAAAACAGCCTTTCCCACTCCCTCAGAGGCCCTCTGGAGGCCTGAAACAGCCCATTTCCAACTCCTGGTGGGACAGGAAGTGACTTTTTTGCTGTCCCCAGCCTCCAGAGCCTCTCTAGGAGTCTCTGGAGGCTGGAGACAGCAAAAAATATCACTTCCTGTCCCACCGGGAGTTGGGAAATGGGCCATTTCAGGCCTCCGGAGGGCCTCCGAGAGAGTGGGAAAGGCTGTTTTTGCCCTTCCCAGATGCATAGAGAGGATCTGGAGCCAGGTAAGAAAGAAAACCAGCCTACCAGGCCATCGTGTGCCAGGAGCGGGGGGGGGGGGTGTGCGCACATGCGTAGGTCAGGGCACATAGAATTATGGGTGTGGGCATGCGCATGTGCGAACCTCCCCTGCCCCCCCTCTCCTGGCACGCAATGGCAAAAAGGTTAGCCATAGGGGGAGGAGCTGACGTCGTGACAAGATGGATGGAAGATCCTGGTGCTCCAGGATCGCCGCCGATATCCCCACTGTTAGACGGTCCTTTTTGGACCTCACAGTCTTGTTGTGACTGTGATAGTGGAGGGCACATCCTGCCAATCCCAGGGACATTGCAAAGTCAATCCAGGAGAAGCCCTTTCTCCACCGGTGGGATGGCAGCCATTGTGCTGCTGAAGTTGGGACAGCTCCAGAATGGAAGAAGATCAGAAGACAGTGAGTCGATTCATGAGAGACTTGTAAATTAAATCAATATAAAAGAACACCCTGAGATTGGAGGGGAAACCAAATTGGAGACAAAAGAAAATTAAGTGGTGAAATTAAACCTGATTTTTTTTTCTTTCATTTTTAAACCATTAATATTGGTGGATGTTTAAGTCTCTGTTTTTTGACCTGGACTGGGTTGGTATAGACTAACAGAACTCAGAGTTTGTGTTTGGCATTTTTAAATCTCAGTGCCTTTATACTATAACCTCTTTTTGAATTTAATTGAGGATTTTCTTTTTTCCTCTATCGGGCCATTTGTATTTTTCAAAGTTTATTGAATATAACAGTGAAAAGGGAAGGAGAGTGTGTAACATTGCCATCTAGTGGATTGGAAACTTTGTTTCCTTTTTTCTGTTTAAACAGCAATAACTGCTACATTGTGTTACAACTCAAGGATGTTGAAATATGAATATAGACTTCAAAAAATTGAGAAAAATGAGGAGCAAAGAGAGAGAAAAAATAAAGATATAAATACTAGATTGGAAGAACGAGACAGAAGTGGATTAGTTGGATGGGAGATGGATAGATCAGAATTTTATCTCAGATTTCAAAATGTAGAATAATGATAATAATGATAATGATAATGATAATGGACTATACAAGGAAAAGAAATATTAAGAAAAGACAAACCTATAAAATACTAGAAGATGACTATAAGAGATTTGAAAAGGAATTTCAGAAATCTCGACGCAAAAAGGATATCAAAATAAGAATGGACACAGTAAAACATAAAATGGGGTTAATGGAGAAAGAAGATTTAGCCCAAAAAATTAGAAGTGCTAAACAGAATTACTTTGAGAATGCTAACAAACCAGGTAGATGGTTAGCATATAAATTGAAAAGAGAGAGAGAATCAAGAAAAATACACAACTAATGGATGACCAAGGACAAAGTAGATTTGGGAATAAGGAGAAGAAAAAAATTATTCAGGATTATTATAGACAATTGTATAAGCAGGAAAGTATAGAGGAGGAAAATGTTATATAATATCTCCAACATGCAAATTTACCTCGGATCTCTAAAGATATATTTTTTTTTATTAAAAAGTTTTATAAGAAATACAAACAATTTTCTCCCCCCCACCCTTCCCCTTCCCCACATAAATTATACATTTTCTTATACATAAAAAATCCTCCATATATATGTTTCCCTTAAAGAAAGCATTAAAATAAAACATTTTAATTATATTCGGAGTTGCTCTTCTCCTTCTTCCCTCATTCCACAACAAACCTTCTTCTCCTCCTCCTTTCTTTCCCGTCCCTCCCTCCTCTTCCCTCCTACCTCTTCTCCCACCTCATCCTACTTCCTTTCCCTTTCCCCCACTTCTCTCTTCTTTTCCCCCTTCTCGCCTTCACTCCTACTCCTGTCCCCTTCCCTTCCCTTCCTCCTCTCCTTTCTTCCATTCCTCTCCCTCCCTCTCCTCTTCCTACCCCCTCCTCCTCTCTCCTTTCTACCTTCTTTGCTGTGAAATATTTTCCTCCTTTAGTATCTGAGCAACTCCTATATTCTAGAATACACTTTCTTCTGCTAAGACATTTCTCTAATCATCACTTCCCCCCCCCCTTATCCCCCCCTCCCCACCCCACCCCTGACTTCCCAGAGCAAAAACAGGGTATAGCATCTAACAAACATATGCTAAAATAAACTAACAAATTATAAAGTTCAAAGCTCCCATATGTTCTTTAACTCCCTTTGCTCCAATTCAACAACCTCCCTTTTATAAATTCTCAATACCAATTAAATTAAATTCATTCTTCCTACTTATATAGAAAAAAAGAAAAAAAAACCTTTTTCTTAATGCATAATCCGATACTTTAGCAGTCTTACAAACAATAAAAATCATGAATAAATTCCATTTCTATACCAGAAAAAAAAAATTTCATCTTAAAATCTTGCACATTTTATCTCATATATCTTTTAAAATAATATAGTCTAATGTTAAGCATTTTAAAAATCTCTTAATACCTTTAAAACACTTATTTACCAAATATAAATTTCAAAATCTATAGGAGGGTATCTTTCAATTTTTCAATTAACCGTCTTAATACCTCTAACTTTTTAAAAGAACAACCCTTAACTATCCAAAACTAATTATCAGTTTACAATAAAATTCTGAGTTTAACATTAATCCTCTTCGCTTCAAAGGGTTAGACATCCTAAAAGCTTATACAATTTATCACATATATCTTGTAGAATAATATAACCTTATGTTAAACATTTTAAAAATCTTTTAATACCATTGAAACACATATTTGCCCATTGCCAATTTCAAAATCCACAGGAGAATATCTTTCTTAATCTTCTGTTCTTCACTTCTTTTTGTATTTTTTCCAATCCTTTTTTTAAATAAATTCTTTCAACAATCCCCCCAGTTTTATTTTGGAAACTTTTAAAATAGTGATTTGAGGTTGATGTTTCTGAAATACTCGCTCTCTTCTTGAAGTCAGATTTTCTAACTTAAAATCCTCATCTCGTCTCTTCTGGTTTGTATAATCATTCAATCCATTTCTTTGTCCATATAGCCAAAATTTGTTGCCATAAAGATTGTCAGCTTGCAATAAAGAAACCATTTGTTGCTTTTCTGTCATTGG